TAGCTGGGCATGGTGGTGCGTGCCTGTAATCCCAGCTACTCAGGAGGCTGAGGCAGGAGAATTGCCTGAACCCAGGAGGCGGAGGTTGCGGTGAGCCGAGATCGCGCCATTGGATGCCAGCCCGGGTAACAAGAGCGAAACTCCGTCTCAAAAAAAAAAACAAAAAAAACCAAAAAGGATTGTGCTGAAATGCATCAACACTAAGAATGTGTGTATATACAATAACCAAACGTGTGTACACATGCACACACACACACATTGTGGGCTCTTGGTGGGGTCCTGGGTGAGGCTGTGTAGGCAGCCCTGAAACAGGCCGGGAGTGGTGGCTTACACCTGTAATCCCAGCACTTTGGGAGGCTGAGGCAGGTGGATCACGAGGTCTGGTGTTCAAAACCAGCCTGGCCCACATAGTGAAACCCCATCTCCACTAAAAATACAAAAGAAATTAGCCAGGCGTGGTGGTGGGCGCCTGTAGTCCCAGCTACTGGAGAGGCTGAGGCAGGAGAATTGCTTGAACCCTGGAGGCAGAAGGTGCAGTGAGCCGAGATAGCGCCCTGCACTCCAGCCTGGCGACAGAGACTCCATCTCAAGAAAAAAGAAAACAACATAACAAAATATTAATACATTAGTAAATCGGCAAACAAACTTTTAAATGTTAGGAGCCAATACTCAAAAGGACTTGGCCAAAACATTATATATATTCTCTTTTTTGTTTTTTTGTTTTTGTTTTTTAAGACAGTGTTTTCTCTGTCGTCCAGGCTGGAGTACATTGTTTTCTAAGCAGACTTTTTCAACTTCTTTCTCCATGTTGATATCACAATAATCAAACCAGACCAATACCCTTTTCCTGTTCCCTACAGAGCTACACACAGCACCCCTCAGCTTCCAATTAGAGGACTGCATGAAATAGCTTTGATTTCATCCTGTTGAGCTTTGAGGTTCACCAGGTAGTAGCTTTTTTTTGATTATTTTGAATTTTTTAAAATATTCGTTTTTGAAAATTTGGAAAAATTTAAAAAGCACTGAGAAGAAAAGGCTATCCATTATTATTCCAACAAATGTTTTATGTACTTGAAGTCATTTTTCTATGCATTTAGATTTGTAAAAATTGGGATCTTTTACACACGATTCTTTAAAAAATTTTATCGATTTATTTATTTTGAGACCGGGTTATGAGACTGGCTAATTTTTGTATTTTTGGTAGAGACGGGGTTTTGCCATATTGCCCAGGCTGGTCTCAAACTCTTGGGCTCAAGGAATCCACCTGCCTCAACCTCCCAAAATGCTGGGATTACTGGCATGAGCCACCATGCCCAGCTAGAGCTTAGTTTGTTATTACTAACATTTGATTTTCACAAATATCATAATAAATCTCATTATCACAAATATCACAATAATCTCATTATAATTTAACAAACTCTTAAGAAAAAATACAGTTTTCTAGTCTAAATGCAGGTTTTAGAAGGTATAACAGTTTCTGTCAAAAACCTATTCGTGTGGATTATTATTATTATTTTTTGAGATGGAGTCTTGCTCTGTCGTCCAGGCTGTAGTGCAATGGTGTGAGCACACTGCAACCTCCGCCTCCTGGGTTCAAGCCATTTTCCTGCCTCAGCCTCCCGAGTAGCTGGGATTACAGGTGCCCACCATCACACCTGGTTAATTTTTGTGTTTTTAGTAGAGGCGGGGTTTCACCATGTTGACCAGGCTGGTCTCAAAGTCCTGACCTCAGGTGATCTACCCACCTCAGCCTCTCAAAGTGCTGCGATTACAGGCATGAGCTACCACATGCAGCCTCCAGTGAACTTTTAAAGATTTAATGACTATTCTTTAAATGTGTGGTAGAATTCAACAAACACTCTCTGGGCCT